AAAAGAAGATGTTGGAGAACCATTTGTCTGAAGTGGTATAGGGTTTCCTGCCTAAGCAGGGGGTTGGACTAGAAGATCTCCAAGGTCCCTTCCAACTCTGCTATTGTATTGTATATACCACCTCACAGTGCTTCACAGCCCTCTCTAAGGGGTTTACGGAGTCAGCCTCTTGCCCCCAACAATCTGGGTCCTCATTTGACCCACCTCGGAAGGGTGGAAGGCTGAGTCAACCTTCAGCCTGGTGAGATTTGATCTGTCAAATTGCAGGCAGCCGGCAGTCAGCAGAAGTAGCCTGCAGTACTGCACTCTAACCACTGCGCCACCGAGGCTCTATTCATCTTTGTTGGTGGTGTTTTTTCCCCCCCTTCTAGGCTTTACTCCGAGGACCCTAAAGAGTCCATCAGGCAGTGCGAACTGCTCCTGGGAGAACCTGATCTGGACACCACCATCCGCCTGGGGGATGTGCTTGGATTCCTGGTGGAGCATCATTTGCAGATGCAAGAATTCCAGATGGTGAGTGTCTCCACAAACCACTTTAAATGATTCTTATTCAGCAGCGTCCACCGCTCTTTACAGCTGCAGATATGGGCAGGGGGACTTCGTAATTAAACGCTTCTCTAGGTTACAAACGGTAAACATTCCTAAAACATTATTCATTTTACTGTTTATGCCACGCGTTGGTTTGGGCAGTACATTTTAACGATTCCCCTGAAATTTTGAGCCCTCGGAAAATATATACTGCTATGATAGGTAGCCCTTGAATTGGGACAGTAATTGAGCCCATCTTTTTGTTAAGTTGCAGGAGTCATAAAGCAGGTCACTGCCTGATCAGACTCATGAATCGTTAAGTGAGCCCCCTTGTTTGCGATGGGACACTTTTCGCTCCATAGGGTAAAGCAAAAATGTCGTAAATCAGTTGTGTGACTACATTGTGCTGGCAACTGTTAAGTTGCTGAATACTCAAAATTCAGTCAGGTGATTGAGGAGTGTGTGTATGTGATGGACACCAGAAGTTTAAATCTGGATCATAGCTTTTTCAGGGTCCATTGTAACTTCAGTCACTAAGCGGTACCGAGCTTGTCGATCAGAAAGATCGGCAGTTCAGCGGTTCGAATCCCTAGCGCCACGTAATGAGAGTGAACTCCCGTTACTTGTCCCAGCTTCTGCCAACCTAGCAGTTCGAAAAGCACGTTAAAAATGCAAGTAGAAAAATAGGAACCACCTTTGGTGGGAAGGGAACAGCGTTCCGTGCACCTTCGTCATTTAGCCATGCCGGCCACATGGCCACCAAGACGTCTTCGGACAGCACTGGCTCTTCGACTTTGAAACGGAGATGAGCACGACCCCCTAGATTCGGGAACGACTGGCCCATATGTGCAAGGGGAACCTTTACCTTTTAAAGGTAGAGAGATTTCAGATACAAGAGATCTCCTATTTGCCTTTTGCAGATTTGTTATTTCTGAATCTGCAGCTAGTCTCTGATCCATCCTGAATAACTCCCAGTCATTGGTGACAGGACCTGGGGACGATGTATAAATTCAGTAATCCGGGCCTCGCTATCTTACCATTCGACAATATTCTGGTACCTCTTCTCCCCACCTGGATGGATGGGGAGAGAGGAAGTCAGAGGAAGCAATTATGCAGGGCCATCTGGAGAAGAGATGATTCACACGCTTCCAGCAGGAAGCATCCACATGGCTCACTTTCAAACAGGGAAGCCAGAATTACAGGCCAAAAGGAACTGCTCTTCTCAACCCCCTAGGTGCTCTCTAGCGTTTGAGCAAAGAAGAGACAGCGTTAAAATGTACAGGAAGGAATAGAAAGAGCACTTAGACTTATATCCCGCTTCACAGTGCTTTACAGCCCTTTCTACAGTCAGCCTCTTGCCCCCAACAATCTGGGTCCTCATTTGACCCACCTCGGAAGGATGGAAGGCTGAGTCAACCTTGAGCCTGCTGAGATTCAAACTGCCAAATTGCAGGCAGCCGGCAGTCAGCAGAAGTAGCCTGCAGTTTTACACTCTCACCCCTGCACCACCATGGCTTAATGGTTGTAGGTTGAAGACCACCTGTATGTATTAATCCAGGGGTCCCCAATTCCCGGTCCATGGACTAGCACATGGCCCTGGCATGCCAGTAACCGGTCTGCAGAAACAAGCGAAGCCCTATCCACAGGGTGCAGGCAGCATGCAATACCACGCCCCTTCGGTCGACAGAAAAAGCTTTCTCCGTGGAACTGGTCCCTCGTGCCCAGAAGGTTGGGGGGCCACTGTATTAATCCAGAGTACAGAGCAAGTTGGCCGAGGCATCTCCAGCCACTTAAGTGTTCTGGCCTGGGCTCAGACCGTAGAACAGCCTGTGAACGCCATTCCCTTCTTTTTCATCAGGCCTATCGGTACCTGGAAGAAATGCGGAAGAAAATCCCCTGCGTGAATCTCAACTACTATGTCAACCAGCAAACGGTCGAGGCTGTGCACCGAGGACTGGGCATCCCGCTCAGCCGAAACGTCCCTCCAGAGAGAGTTCGCCACAACAGCGTGGAGGACAAGGAGGTCGAAGAAGTGGCCGACGAAGCAGAGCCCTCCTGAACGGCTCAGGGGCACACCGCCGTGTTTCGGATGTGGTGAGGGGAAAGACCAACGGACTCTGTAATCCTTGCTCTGCAATCCTGTCGATCCTTGGGAACCTGGGCATTCCCAAGGCCGCAGGTATTTTATATCCCTTTTAAAATACTCCAAAACGGTTTCAAAGATGTATTCTTCATATTTGTATTAAATATTTTAGATACACAACTCGCTTGTGTCTTTTTGCGCGGCCTTAAACCTGAAGAACAAGAGGCTGGGAATGGCAGAAGGGTAATACAAAATAGCGGGAATAAACTGAATTCTAGGCAATCTTAAAAGGCTCCAGTCTGGATTGATTCACTGGGACCAGAGATTTAGTCTTCCGAGCTTTCGGACTCGTGCTGGAGCTCATCCTCAGGGAATGTCTCTCTATCGGAACATGTGCTTTGGGCTATTCTATGTATAGTATTTATGTGGTACATGGTTAGGTGTGGCTTCTTAATGGTTGATTGGGGTGTCGATGGCTGGCTGTTGTTTCCTTGTGCTGCCAAGTCCTTAAGCCGGTGGTAAATCGGCATGCCTGTGGACTGACAAAGGGGACCGTTTCGCAGCTTCAATCCTTTCCCTGGCTGTTTTTGTACCTGCTCAGCCAACAATCTGAATAGCTGCGAAATTGAATGCATGTCCTAATAGGCTTTCCTGTCAAGATGACTGAATTTGTCAAGTGGATCCACTTTCTTTGACTGCAGAATCCCTTGTAAAGAACGAACCCTTTAGAAAAATAGAGCCTGTCCCAGCTCAGAATGGTTTTTAATAAAATTTCCCCCTTTATTTGGCTTGGGAAATACATTGTCCAGGCCCCCCCCGCCCCCCCAAGTCAACACCCAAGGCAGGCATCATCAATTCCTACTCGGAGCAAATATGGGATGTTTTGTTTTTTTTACCCTCTGGGAAAATGTCCAGCAGTTCTAAAACTTTGCTTTTGACTTTCAGTAAATTGGCTAAGACCAGGAGTCAGCAACCTGTGGCTCTGGAGCTGCACGTGGCTCTTTCATCCCTCTGTTGCGGCTGTCGCCGGCCAGCTCCACAACTGATAGAGCTTTCAGTTCGGACAGGTAGAGGAAAAGGGATGCCACATTAGGAGACTCTATGGTGGGGGAACCGGACTTCCGGTCGTCTCCAGAATTGAACGTGGGGCTTCCGGTTAGGACTTTTGTGGCTCTTTGCGTGTTTAAGGTGGCCAACCCCTGGCCAGGACCATAAATAACTAGGACTAAATTTACATGTCGGTTAGCAACAGCATCCGTCGGTTGTAGGTGCCACACTGAGCCCAGATGTCTTCCAGCTCGGAGCCCTTTGCCCCTTTCTCCTAAAGGCCTGGGGAACCTTTCCAACTTTTTAGAAAGCCCCTTTAGGCTCAAGCTGTCTTATACTCCAGAGTAGCCGATTCAAGCTTTTTCTTCAGGTTTTCCATCAGGAGCAGATTCTGCAACGCTAAATGCCTGCAGTCACCATCTGGGTCCTTCTCCGCGACATCTATAAAAAAAAAAAAAAATAGGAAGAGACGGAGAAGAGAGGGGAAAAAACCGACTTGAGGAAATTCCTGTAAAGCATTAGTTGAACTGTCAAGCGGAGGAACAATAAACGGAAGTGAAGCGGGATATGAAAAGGGTTTTCTGTTGGCCTTTTATTTAGCAACTTTTATTACATCGTGTCCTTCCAGTTACAACCATACTTTCTTGGCATGAAGATCAAAAAACAAAAAACACGTTTCTATTTTTTACACGACCCTTGACTTACGACCACAATCGAGCCCAAAATTTCTGCTGTTAAGTGAGACATTTATTAAGTGAGTTTGGTCCCATTTTACGAGCTTTCTGGCCACAGTTGTTAAGTGAATCACCGCAGTTGATTAGTTATTAGCAATAACACTTAGCAACAGCACTTGTATACTGCTTCACAGTGCTTTACAGCCCTCTCTAAGTGGTTTTACAGAGCAAGCCTATCGCGCCCAACACTCTGGGTCCTCATTTTACCCGCCTCGGAAGGACAGAAGGCTGAGTCGACCTTGAGCCGGTCAGGTCAAACTACTGGCAGTGGGCAGAATTAGCCTGCATTACTGCATTCTAACCACTGTGCGTCATGGAGGGAGAGAGGAGGGAGGGAAGGAGAAAAAAAAGCAAGAGCACTTAAGACATATACCGCTTCACAGTGCTTTACAGCCCTCTCTAAGTGGATTTACAGAGTCAGCCTATCGTCCCCAACAATCTGGGTCCTCATTTTACCCACCTTGGAAGAACGGAAGGCTGAGTTGACCTTGAAGTTGGGGAGATTCGAACTGCCAAACTGTTGGCAGCCGGTGATCAGCCGAAGTAGCCTGCAGTACTGCACACTAAGCACGGCACCCCCATGGCTCCTGACCCAGTAACCCAGTTGTTAAATGAATCTGGCTTCCCCATTGACGCCGCTTGTCAAAAAGTCGTAAAGGGGGAATCGCATAACCACACAGCAACGGTCATAAATATGAACCAGTTGGCAAGCCTCTGAATTTTGATCACATGATCATGGGGATGCTGAAAAGGTCGTAAGTGTGGAAAGAAAGGTCACAAGCCAAATTTTTCAATGCCGTTGTAACTTTGAAAGGTCACTAAATGTCAATGACTGCCTTCATTCTCCTTAGCCACAGAGCTGAGTAAATATTGAGGATGTTGTTTTTCAGAAATGTGATTTTTAATCAGAAATATAAATACTTAGCATTGGTTTTCCCATAAATACTTGGGGTTTTTTCACATATGCAGTGACAAAGTTCTGTGCTGCTGCAATGTCCATAAGAAAAAAAATGGCTACAGAGGTATAGCACCATCTTGTACCAATTATCAGGACATACCTCTAACAATCTTTGGACCATTATGTTATTATTCACTTTTAATGTCAATACTTTTTAATTATATTTTAATGTTAGTATTTTTTAATATAGTGTAAAAACTAATGTGCATTGCTGGTCTTTGACCGTAATAAAGATTTTACTTACTTACATACTTACTTACTTGTTTTGGTTTTTTTTTGCAAAATATTAGTCGGTATATTGATTGGGGCATCCTTCCATGAAGATGCATTTATTTGTATTTCATACTAGCCAATAACCCTGCGTTCCCCGGGTATTTATAGGGGGGAAATATCTGGACCAAACGTACTTTCGAATGTTGGATTTTCCCTCTTACCAGAGGGAGCCCCCTTGTGGAATATTGTGAAGCCGTTATCGTGGCAACTTCATTGTGCTGCACGCTAGAAGCCATTTCACAGCAGTAGAAGCCAAACATTGGTGCCTTAAATACTATGCAGAAAACCTAACAGAAATCAAGACAATGGATGTCTCTGAAGATTCGCAGTCCTCCAAGTCGTGGTTGTTCCAAAGGTGCTTTTTTTTTCAAGAGGACACTGGACTTTCTGGTTTTTTTCTTTGAAGGCGTTTCGCTTCTCATCCAAGAA